CATCCATCCATCCATCCATCCATCCATCCATCATCTATCCATCTATCATCTATCTATCACCTATCAAAAACTGTAAATTGCCACACAACTGGAATATTTTTTGTGGTTTGGAACCAATCTTTGGTCAGGGAGCGGGATCAGCCTATACAGGGTGGGCAGAAATGGACTCAGTTCAGATTCTAATTTGCACTTTCTAAACATACTCCAATCAAACTGCAGCTGTTTTTATTGTCTGGAGTTTTACAACGCACATTTCCAATTAAAAAAGAATGTGTTTGTGGGCATAAATATGCATATATCAGAGAAAGGAGCAAGCAGAGTGTTCCTTATTAGAGGAAAGTGCTCACAGAACAAAATCTTATGGGGAAAAAAAAAAAGCATAACAATTAGAAAAGGACAAGAAAGGTTTTTGCAGATTATTGCAAAAACAGCATGTGAGATGCTTAAGCCTGGAAAAATGCAAAGCAAGTTCTAATAAGTTATACCACACTATGCGTGTTGGGGAAGGAAGGATCAGTGAGAATGACACCATCACACAAAGGACACAAAGGACACCACTCATACTATTTGCTCCGTCCCATGACATCATCACATCAGGGCTGCTTTATGACCATCTCGACTTACAACCATAATTGTCTTAATTTTGGTTGCAACTTTGAAGACTACCTGTATGCAGTAATACTTCTCCATAGATCTTGTATGTCCTTGCATATGTGCCTATCGTTGTGTGTCTAATCACAAATTCTTTGTGTGTCTAATTACACTTGGACAATAAATAATATTCTATTCTATTCTATTCTATTCTATTCTATTCTATTCTATTCTATTCTATTCTATTCTATTCTATTCTATTCTATTTCTATTCTATTTCTATTCTCTATTCATTCCAATAGTCTATTCTATTCTATTCTATTCTATTCTATTCTATTCTGTTCTGTTCTGTTCTGTTCTGTTCTATTCTATTCTATTCTATTCTATTCTATTCTATTCTGATATTCTAGTCTATTCCTATTCCTATTCCTATTCCTATTCCTATTCCTATTTCTCTTCTCTTCTCGTCTCGTCTCGTCTCGTCTCGTCTCGTCTCGTCTCGTCTCTTCTCTTCTCTATTCTATTCTATTCTATTCTATTCTATTCTATTCTATTCTATTCTATTCTATTCTATTCTCTATTCCTATTCTATTCTATTCTATTCTATTCTGTTCTATTCTATTCTATTCTATTCTATTCTATTT